AGTCTAGTCGTATTTAAAGCTCGCCATCTTATTGATTGACTTGAAGGTTTAACATCAACACAATAATTAAGTACACATGGCTAAAACTATGATATACTGTTCTATTATATTATGTCCAAAATTATATTTTCACAAGCCAAACACATGACACTGTTTAGAGGAATAAGTAACGAAAAACATATCTTCCTTAATTTTCGACTGTATTCGTTTCCTGCAAGATCTATTCCCGCACGGAAACCGCCATTTTTGTGTTTATTCTTGTCTAAAATATAGCAACTTACTGCATGTTTACATATCTCCTAAGATTTTCGTCGAAAACAATTCATTTTATATCCGGGACGGGCAATAGTGTTAGTTTATCACAGATATTAAGAAATCACTTTTGTATTTATTCGCAAGGCCTTTATCACCGTCTAAATTCACATGACGCAAAGATGGGTATATTCTATGAAAACTACAAGGTAATTTCTTTTTTCTAACGAGTCAAGTCTAGTCTTTTTAAAGCCCGTCTCTTATTGACTGACCTAACAACAGTAATGTACATGTGATTAAAGGACTGATATACTGTTCTATTATATATCATTAATAAAAATTACAATAAAAGCCAGACATAATGAAACAGTAAAAACCTTTATAGGTGCTGAAAATGTTTGCCAGTTTCAACTGTATTAAGCTATAATTCTGCTGGGAAAATGATTGTCTGTTTGAAGTTTAAAAAACAGATACTTCAAAAATGTTTGTATTGAACAATGCCTCAAAAGTGAATGGCGAATACACGAAATGATAGACTAAATGGAAAACCGCAACGTAATATTTTGTTCAACGGACGATATTCCTATAACAAGGACATTTCCATATTACAAACACTTTCGAGAGTACGATTGTAGAAACAATAAAATTATTCTGCTTTTTTTATGAAACTATTTCAAAACATATAACTTTATACCCTTTACGATACATAAGGTTTGATTTAACATGATATATAGCAGAGACAGACAATAGTGTTAGTTTAACTGTTGTATTTAAAACTAACCTTATATAACTTTATCAAGCATTAACGAAACAATTGGTTACTACTATATATTCTCGATTTTTTATTGCGTAAGGAAAATCTTAAATCGGAAGAATATTGTCCTTATAATTACTGATAAACTTGAGTATTGAACACCACACCAGTAATGCAGTCTTGGTTAAGGACAATGATTATAATGTTCCGTGCTGGTATCTCATCCGATCTAGTTTACAATAAAAAAGTAGCCAAATTTAAATTAAACAATTATATTGCCTATTGTATACAACTCATATACATGTAGTTTGCATTTGCGACTAATATCATGCTTATGGCGCTACCAAGGCACTTACGTTGTATTTATGTGGTATTTTTCTGCATAATTTTTTTACATTTTTGCTAATTGATTTTTGCTGTGCGGTAAAGGCATTAGTAATCACCATGGATTAGTGAAATTTCTACTTATGCCTGAATGATTGTTTCAAATATGAAATAATACATGTAAATATTAAAGACGAGCTTTACATGTGCAAACGTTCTATTTCAAATTTCATTTACTCTGTATTTAAGCAGTTTTTATGGTTAGCAGGATTTGCGTACTTTCATAATGTCTGTTCCATAATTCATATAGAATTCTAGTGGGGAAATATATATCTGATAGGTTTATATGCACTTTATTCCATTTACTCACATACATCACGAAATTTTAACATTGCCTTTTCTCATAAATTCTATCAAATAAGACGTAATCTAATAGACGATTTCATTTAGATTTGCGGTCAGACTTAGTACGTTACTATACTAGCAGAAACTGCACGATTGCAAAATATTCACAGGCATTCACACGAAATTGTAGTTTATGGTACGCAATAATTATACCTTTGTATTAAAAAATGAATCGCCCCCCATAGTGAATTTATTGAATCGTATATATTTCTGTTGATTACTGTTTTGACAAACTTATTCATTGCAAAAACACACCAGTAAAAGTTTAAAAATTGTTGGTGTTTTGATTATGATGATTTTTTACATGCGTAAATTATTGTTTAAAGTGACATTATGCCCATCCAAGGGTATATAGTGAGTGACCATGTGAACATATAAATAAGTTTTCATTTTGCAATAATTCTTTTGATTCTAATAATTGACTTCGGCAAAAAACAATTAATAACACACGGGTCCTAAGGAATTTTCTGTAAATATCCATAAGATACTTGTGCCGTTCAGTTTTATAAAAAGAGTGGGGGCAGTCTTTTTATATTTTAAGGCAGATTTATAATTTTACCTTAAACATTTTTAAATATCACCTGTTGGTCAAACACCATTTTAACAGTATGTCTTTTGAAATATTAAGTCAATTCAGCTCAACTTGACTATGAAAATATGAGAATAATGTCACTTTAACATTTTGTTTCTGTTTAGAATATATTCAAGTACTGATATGTCATTTAACTGTTTCTGTTTAGAATATATTCAAGTACTGATATGTCATTTAACTTTGTCAGTGTATATCTATATATGTCCAGCGGTAGAGGACACGTATGTGACGAGTATAACTGTTTAGTATGTTTATTTTGTAATGCTTTTCTTGTAATGAAAAAGTATTATCCAATAATCAATTTTGTGCGACAGTTTCCCTCCCAAAATTAAGAGTGCCAAATTCCTAGGAAACCTTTGGATATAATACTTCATGTTTATCATGAAAACCACCCCGTTTGTGTGTCAGTCTCATATCCCTTTCAATCTCAAATTTCTTTTTATATCCGCCAGTTGTTTTTCGCGTTTCTTTTTACATGGGTGCCATACTTTCATGGAATTGCATGAACATATCACAATAACCGCCTTATGGAAAACTTCTGTGAATGTTTCTAAATACTAAATTTCTTCATTTTTTATGTTCGAAAAGTTGAATTCTGCTAGAGGTCGTGGACAGTAATTTGCAATTATCACTTCCGTCCATGATCGGGCTCAAACACACCTAGCCTGACGCATTTTCAATTGTTGCCGATTTGGGCGTTCTTTGGGGATTATGTGTGTGGGTGTTTTTTATATCTTAAAACTTCGTCAATTTAAATATGGATCAGATTTCGATATTATTCAATTTACTTGTTGGCGAAAACAGTTTACTTTACCGCAATCATTTTAAGTAGTTACTTGTAATCCATGTAAGTATTGACCAATACATACTTTTTCCCCAATGCTTGAATTATCGGCCAACTTTAATTTGTAAATGACTGTTTGTGTTTTCTGGATCTATAGAATTATTACAAAGACAAGTTATCGCTTGCGTTGTTTTCGGATATTTCTATTGAAATCATTCTACAAGTAATGTCTTGCTTTGTATGTCTATAGGTAATTTATTTTGAGTCTATATTCGGTAATAAACACTATGCAACTAAACTGTCCAAACCTACTACAGGCAACTGAAATATACGGGTTTCGTACTTCTGCAGAAAGGTCGATTTAAAATAAAATACATAATTATGTTATAAATAAATGTTTTTAACATTATAGTATAATCGATAAGTAGGTGTCGGCAATTATTCGCAGTTTTCAAGTTTAATTGATCTTAACAATACCTTCAATCATTTCAATTATCACGCAATTTTGTCCGGTTATTTGCTCTTTTCGAGTTACTCCAGAAGTATATTGCTCCACCGTTATTTTCATTACTACTAGCAGTACATTGGGACCAGACAATTAGGGTGGCTTGTCACATATGACAGGGAGTCGTATAATTCAGACCATTTCTATAGGAAAATATGTTGGGAGGACTGAAACAAGGTCGGATAAGTCAGGGAGTCGTTGAAATCAGGGGGTCGCTAAGGCAGTCTCAACTGTATACATATAGTAAAAAATCAAAAAATCTTATTGTCTGAAGGCTTAGAGCTTTAATATTTGTTAAATGATATCATCTATAGGTACTCTTCCAAAGTTGTTCAAATTTTGCCTCTAGTGTCAAAATTAGCCCCGCCCCGGGGGCCATAGGTTTTCCTTATATGTATATAGTAAAAACTTAAAAAACCTTCTCTAAATTTACAAAGGCTAGAGTTAAAATATTTTGCATGAAACATTGTGTAGTGAAGCTCTAGCAAGATTGTACAAATTATAGCCCTGGGGTCAAAATTGGCCCCACCCCCCAGGGGTCATTGATTTTTACTATGTACATAAAGTGAAAAATGAAAAAAATCTACTTGTCTGAAGGTTCAAGGCTTAGAGCTTTGATATTTGGTATATCATATCATCTATGGGTCCTACACTACTATTTAGTGTTGTATTAATGCGGTGCCACAGCATTTTTTGTCAAATGCAATCTCGTTTTAGATGCAGATTCTATAACCAATATATTTAGAAGCTATTAATGGATTTCATAATAATAACTTTTACTGTCTTTTACATGTTTGAGTCTGCTAGTGACAACAAATCTATCGATGCAATTAGTGAAGACCAGGCAGCACTGACCATGGCCTGCACTGTTTGCTATTCAGTCAGTACATATTTAGAAATATTTTCAATGAATTAGGACTGCATCTGATAATGCTGATTAAGGATATGTAGCATGATATGGTTTATATTGATGAATATGCTGTGATATGTACTATTTTTATAGTAATGTTATATTTACCAGCTAAAAAGATACTTTTAGGAATCAAATCCATTAGATTTGATATACCATGCATGATAGAATCAAAATGAATGTAAAGGTTGTGTGCAAAGTTACTATAATAATCAGAAATATAATGATAAAACTTATGGACAGAACGTGTGGTTTTATGTATATGAAACTATAAACATTCATTTATTTTACCCTTTCCAAGTGATCTTATTTCTGCTTAAGCTAATCTTTCAAATTAACTTTGCTATACATGTATATCCTACTTGACAATACAAAGACTATTAAATACTCTTTAAATAAACACTTTTTCAAATGTGTGCTTAATGTGTGTTTTGCATTGGTAATAATTATTAAGAAAACTTGGTGATTACCCAAATGATATTTTCTGAGTCAGATTCTCCACTTGTCACTATACAAGGACAACAGTACACATTAAATGAAGGGGAGAATAAACAGTTTGCCTGTACAGTAGATAGTAAACCGATATCAAAGATAACTTGGTACCATGAAGTCAGCCTGATATCTCAAGAAACACCAACAAGTGGTATCTCGAGACTCAGTTTTACACCAATCAACAGAACACACTATGGTAGTTATTCGTGTAAAGCAGATAATGGAATAGAAACAGAACAACAGGATCAGATTTCCATTACTGTAAAATGTATGCTTTGTTTTCAGAGATACCGTCATTATTTAAACAGTTTCAAAGTAATCAAATTAAGAAATACTTGTATACTACTTTTTAATTATGATTTTACTGATTATTTTTCTTACCATGATTAGCATTTAGTTTGATAAAGTAATCAAGTTTCTTTCATTTGAAATATTTCTTCATTAGCTCCATTCCTCACAAAAGTGAATCTGTTAATAATTACACTTGTCTGCATTTGTTAACTTTTTATGTTAAGACCCATTCCTTAAAAGTAATTAAAGTATTTACTTCTAAGGAACAGACATCCTCAAAAGTTTTTTTTTTTTGTTATGTAAATCTTTCAAATAAGATTTTTATTTTAAGGTTACTATGCTGCAATTATCATATATAACTATTTAACTTCAGCTGTTATTTTGGAAACCTTTTCTACACCATAACATTTGTTAAGTTATTGAAGTGATACAGTTTTAAATCTTTTAAAAGTGTATAACATTGTCATATCAAAAGTTCATTTTTTAAAGAGATAAATGGCTATATTTATAATGATTTTATATAATTTTTCAATACTCATCTTTTCCATAATGTTGAACTTAATTTTAGTTAAACCTCTTACAACTACCATAACTGGAAACAACAACATTATTGCCAATGGAAAAACAACATTAACGTTAGACTGCACGTCTGGAAGTTCTAACCCAATATCTGACATCACATGGACAATAAACAATGTTATTACACAGGCAACACAGAATTTGTCAAATCAGAGTGGAGAATATGGTGGTATTAAACGTCGACAGAGATTAATACTGACTCCAACACGCGACAATGATGGTGATATTATTTCATGTGAAGCTAAAAATACTTTAGGGACATCTAATAGAAATGAAGAAACTTTGGATCTTAGATGTAAGTTTATGTATAAAGTTTAATTGATTTGAAGTCTTCGTGTTATATCTTCGAACTTCCTTATATTTATTCCTTTACATTACTTTATCTGTAAACATTCCATTTGATATATATTCTTGTGCTTTCATTTTGCATTTCAGTTTTGAGTACATCACCTTAAAGGAAGTACCAAATGGTGACAACTCAGAACTGTGTTAGACAGTATAATCATATTCTGCATTGAAAACATGTTTTACAATTCTACATATATTTCAGACCGCCCATTAATTAAGCCAATGTCAGATGTTATTGTTGTTGAAGGAAATAACACTGAGCTAATATGTGCTGCATCTAGTAAACCAGCTTCAACATTCAAATGGTACAAACAAGGACAAGAAGACCAGATCTTACATCAAGGAACTGGGACAATGGAGAATAATAAATTATCATATCCTTTAACAAATGTGAGAAGAGGTGATGCTGCAACATATACATGTAATGCCAATAATGGAATAGAAAAGGCTGACAGCAAAAATGTTCTCCTAACAGTATATTGTAAGTATTTTGCAATTCTTTGTAGCTAGACTTTGGAAGAAAAGTTTTTTTGTTATTACCACTGTGATTTTGTCGAGTGCATTTGCTGATGCCTCTATCAACACAGATTTGTCACATTTTTTTCCTCAGGGTGACCTTTTAGGATCGTTGAATATCCACTGTCAGTTGTCCATCCACAATTTGTTCTTTGACACTCTAGTTGTCATTTTTATAGCTCGACTTTTTTTTCTTGAAAAATAAAAGAAGAGGTATTGCTTTTGTCCTGGCGGAGCTGCTGTTGCCGTCCGCAAACTTGTAACTGGATCATAACTTTTTAAGTTCTTGGTGTATTGTCTTCATACTAGGCCACGACAACCCTTGGGACTAGACTTTTCACCAGACTAACCTTGACCTACATCCACAAATGACCTTGACCTTCAATGTCAAATATCCAAATTTTGCTTGTTCTTGCTATTATTGGCTGTAACTTTGTTATTTTTAAATGAATTTTCTTCAAACTTGAACATTATAATCTTCAAGGATAGCACTTTAAAATAACCAGACAGACTTGACCTTCACTCATAAATGACCTTGACTTTGAAGGTCACATTATTGAAATTTTCATTTTTTTGGCTGTAACTGGCTGTAACTTTGCTGTTATTGAATGGATTGACTTCATGTTATAACAGAACATTCTTAGGGACAAGACCTTCATGTGATCGAGTAGAAGATTTAGTTGTAACGATCTAGTTTGGTCAGATCATGAACTGATTTGAACCAGGAATGTTGAAGATTTTATTCTAAACAATTCGAAACACGACTATTCTCGACTCAATTAGGATCATAACGATCTGGTCGGGTGGAAATCTGTCAACGATCAAGCAGAGGTCCAGTTAGTCTAGTTGAGATCATGTATGACTCGCGTATAGGTCTGGGTGATCGAGAAGAAGTCAGGATGCTGGTAGGGTTGTCGTCGAGAAGTCGTAAAACATCGTGTAGGGTCGACTTGAGGTCGTGTAGGAATCATGAATGTGCATTTAATCCAGCTTGGTCGGGCTTCATAGGGAAATTAATGTGATCGGGAAGATCAAACTAATCTGATCGGCGGTGAGAACATAGCATTAAATATTTGATGTAAATAAAATAAGAATCCCTGTAGAGCAAATATAATCGCATGTGTATCATGTAAAATTTTATTATAGTTTTAGATTGATATTGAATCATTAGGTACAAAATAAACTTGAATTTAATGCATTCAAATCCTTAAGATAAATATCATATTTTTAAAAACATATCCATATCCAAATTATAAGAATAAATTTAAAAAATCTTCTTGTAAAGACCCAAAAGGCCTAGAGCTTAGATATTTTGCATAAGGCATTGTCTGGTAGAACTCTACCAAGATTTTCAAATTATAGCCCTGGGGTCAAAATCGGCCCTGCCCCGGGTGTCATTGATTTTCACTATATGTACATATAAAATACCTTCTTGTAAAGACCTAAAAGGCCTAGAGCTTAGATATATGTACATATAGTAAAAACTTAAAATACCTTGTAAAGACCCAAAAGGCCTACAGCTTAGATATTTTGCCTTAGGCATTTTCTGGTAGACCTCTACCCAGATTGTTCAAATTATAGCCCTGGGGTCATTGTTTTTCCTTATATGGGTATAGTAAAAACTTATAGTACAAACTTTAAAAAAAACTTCTTCTAGCAATTGACAAATGCTAGAGGTTAGATATTTTGCATGAAACATTGTGAAGTGAACTTCTAGCAAGATTGTTCAAATTACAGCCCTGGGGTCAAAATTGCCCCTGCCCCGGGGGTCATTGATTTTCAATATATACATATAGTAAAAAAATCAAAAAATCTTTTTGTCTGAAGGTACAAGGCTTAGAGCTTTAAAATTTGTTAAATGATATCATCTATAGGTACTCTACCAAAGTGTTCAAATTCAATTGCCTCTAGTGTCAAAATTGGCCCCGCCCTGGGTGCCATAGGTTTTTGGCCGGGTTGCACAGGTGCAAACCCGGGTTTTAGTATGGTGAATGTCGGGCGGCGGGCGGTGGGCGGCGGGCGGGCGGGGAAAAAAATTCGTAACAGTTTTCTCAACAACTACGTAGCACAGCCTCTTGATATTTGGTATACAGCATTAACACATGGTCCCATACCGTGGGATTCGATTTCAGGTCTGTCGCTCATCCACTTCCTGTTTATCCACTTAGTTAAATTAGTTAGATTTTTTGACATTAATGGTCAATGGTAGGAAATTTTCGTAACAGTTTTCTCAGCAACTACTTATCACAGCCTCTTGATATTTGGCATACAGCATTGACACATGGTCCCATACCGTGGGATTGGATTTCAGGTTTGTCGGTCATCCACTTCCTGTTTATCCACTTAGTTAAACTAGTTAGATTTTTCGACATTAATGGTCAATGGTAGGAAATTTTCGTAACAGTTTTCTCAGCAACTACTTATCACAGCATCTTGATATTTGTCATATAGCATTGACACATGGTCCCATACCGTGGGATTGGATTTCAGGTCTGTTGCTCATCCACTTCCTGTTTATCCACTTAGTTAAATTAGTTAGATTTTTCAACATTAATGGTCATAATAGGAAATTTTCGTAACAGTTTTCTCAGCAACTACTTATCACAGCCTCTTGATATTTGGCATGCAGCATTGACACATGGCCCCATACTGTGGGATTCGATTTCAAGTTTGCAGCTCATCCACTTCCTGTTCACATAAATTGTCAATGGTAGGTAATTTTTGTAACATTTTTCTCAGAAACTACTAATCACAGCCTCTTGGTATTGGCATATAGCATTAACACATGGTCCCATACTGTGGGATTCGATTTTAGGTGTGTAGGTTATCCACTTCCTGTTTACCTACTGAATTAAATTTTAGATATTAATGGGTCAATGGAATTTTTTTTTCGTAACATCACAGCCTCATGATATTTGGTGTACAAATGCAACCCGGCCTTTTCTGTCTTTGACCCATTTTCTTTATATGTATAAAGTAAAAACTTAGAAAATCACCATCTCTAAATTTACAAAGGCTAGAGTTAAGATATTTTGCATGAAACATTATATAGTAAACCTCTAGCAAGATTTTACAAATTATAGCCCTGGGGTCAAAATTAACCCCACCCCCAGGTGATGATTTTCACTATGTACATATAGTAAACAATTAAAAAATCTTCTTGTCTGAAGGTACAAGGCTTAAAGCTTTGATATTTGGTATATAATATCATCTATTGGTCCTCTACTCAAGTTGTTTTAATTATGCCCCTAGTGTTAAAATTTTCCTGACCCAGAGGCGATAGTTTTCCTTATATTTATAAAGTAAAAACTTGAAAAATCTTCTTCTCTGATTTGAAAAATCTCATTTCAAAAATTTAGAGGTTAAATATATGGCATGAGACTTTGCGAAGTGAACCTTTACCAAGATTGTTCAAATTATAGCCCTGGGGTCAAAATTGGTTCCGCCCCGGGGGTCATTGATTTTCATTATGTACATAGTAAAAAAATAAAAAGTATTTTTGTTTGAAGGTACAAGGCATAGAGCTTTGATGTATGCTATATAATATCATCTAGATCATAAAAGGTCCTCTACCAAAGTTGTTCAAATTTTTCCCCTGGTGTCAAAATTGGCCCTGCCTGGGAGCAGTGATTCTCATTATGTACACATAGTAAAAACAGAAAATAAAACAAATATTTTCTGAATGGGAGAAAGCTACAGCTTAGATATTTGACTTGAAATGTTGTTTGGTGGACCTGTATCAAGATTGTTTTGAATTCACAGTTTTAGTTGTAAAATTGAACTTTGCTATCAGGAGACCTAGATTTTGATGATGTGATGTACTTTCTTGTCCTTTGATGTACAACTATGAAATTTGAACCATGTGGTCAGATTAAGATGTAAAGTGAACTTTGTAAAGTGAGTCTGCAATTCTTATGAAATTTTGTTGTGATTAATGCTTCTGAGGGATCACTTTGTTTCCAGACTTTTGATTTCAGCTGACCTAGATTTTGACAAGGTGTCTTACTGTGTTGTCCTTTGATATAGTCATGAAATTTAGGCTGTGTGAAAAATGACCTTCACCACCAAATTCACTAGACTCGAGTGCATTGATATATTCCTACTCTGATCTTTTATAGAGTTAACAACAGATTTAACTGCTAATCTGATAATAGGAATTAGATAGGTCAGGAATCTATGCATTATGACAATATTCAAATAGTAAAGAAACAAAAAAAAATCTGTTCCTACACTACTTTTAGTGTTATATTAATGCGGTGGCATAGCATTTTTCTCAAATGCAATCTTGTTTCTGTGTGTTGCCAGATACACAAAAGCTTGTCTGGACTACTCCTTATAAACTACTGGTGCAATTTTATCCAATTTTTACAGGAATGATCAGTACCAAGTCTAGTTGTGCACTGTCTGTCTGTCCGTCTGTCACAAAACTTGTCCCCACTACTCCTCATAAAGTACTGGGGCAATTTCATCCAAACTTTACAGGAATTTATGTCGCCACTACTCCGATCACTTCTCCGTCTGTCACAAAACTTGTCCCAACATGAAATTGGCCATCATGAGGCGACACATGTCATCACTGATCGCTCTTGTTGGGTCAAGGGGTCAAAGGTTAAGGTCACATTTACTTTGTAGGTTAAAACAATTTCCCATCAATAACTAATGACAACCAATGAGCCAATGGCTCTTTAATTGCATAGGTTCATTGGTCTTGGCTAGAAGATGACCCCTTTTGATTTTGGTGTCAAGGGGCTAAAGGTCTATGGAGTTTGAGGATCAAGGGCCAATGGGTTGTCAAGTTATTGATTATAATAACTTTGTCATAAAATTTCTGCACACAACCTTTACGGTCACAATGACCTAGTGACTAGTCATGACCAGTAGATAACCCTTGATTTTTGGTCACTAGGTCCAAAAACCTTCACAATAACCAGGGCCACATGACTAATTGGTTGCTGATAGGGGCATACATGTTTTACAAACAACTTGTTATTTATAACAGTTATTAATTTAATTACATAAAAACCTCAAAAAAGCCCCACCATCGGGAAACGGGGACCAAAAGTGCCAAAATTAAAGGGTGTCTCAATTAGTGAATTTTCTTATGTTTATTTTAACCATGGTTATTTTTGTCATTTTTTTGGACAACCTTATTATTTTTAACCCCTGCAAAAAACAATATAAAAGTATTGTTAAAAATATTTAATCTGATGGGGGAAAAAGAAAAAAACAAATCTTTTTGTCTGTTTAAATTTAATTTTTATTGCTCTATATGAATCAATTTTTCAATAAAAATAATTTCTTCACTAAATTTTAGGGTTTTGAAAGCAAAATAAGGACCACCCCCAAAATTTACTCTTCACTTTTTTTTTCTAAAATAACCCGTTATAATTTATTTTTTTTACACCTTGTGAAACCCAGTGTCATGCTTAAGATTTTAAGATCCAGATATATGTTGACTCAATAGTTGGGTAAAAAAAAATAAATAAAGAATTGGGACTGAATCTGGTCTTATAAGTGGATAAGCGGATTGGTCTTAATTCTGGATCATGTTACCATTGACTTAAAGAACAGAAAATTATGTGTTTTCAAAAAAAATGGTCTTAATTGCAGGATGGTCTTAATTCTAAGGTGGGAATCTACTGTAATAGTATTAATTGTATAACCCAACCATGCCTATCTGCTCGCCGGTTTTTGTTTTTAATGACAACCGGGGAGTTCTTTAAAACTGAAATTTGTGGGGTTTCTGCTCTTTAAAAACTCATATCTAGATTAATTTGTTATTAGACTTTAAAAAACAAGTGATGTCTAATTTTTAAAATTTTTAGTAATTTATTTAACAACTACTTAAAAATTTTTTGTGATGATCTTTGGAAAAATTTTCGGGGTAAATTTTTTTGTAATTTTAAAGAAACAAAATTTGAAACAAAATTTCAACATTCTTAAATTTTTTGTGATGAAGATCCTCCAGATGTCTCAGCAACAACAACAAACACAACAATCAATGCTGAAAAAGTCATTGTTACATGTAACGCACATGGTGTACCAGACACTAGTTATACATATGGTAAATGGGTTCAAACTTGGCCAGGATACGATACACCTATATCAGAACATAGTGGAAGTGAGAGACTAGAGCTTACAGGTTTAACATATGAACACTCTGGAATATACACATGTACAGCTAGTAATGGCATTAGAGTATTTGGCACAAACCAGGAATATAAGGAAGGATCAGTACATTTGGTTGTGAAATGTAAGTAAATTCATGTACGAGGGGTTATCCAAAAATTCGTGGACTTTCTTTGTTGCGTAAAATATATTAGAGATATTGATTTGAAATTCTTACATTGCTTAGAATAATAAATAACAAATAAACACAGAAAAATTCATGTTAGTAGCTTCTTATATTACAGCAATATTTAATTTTACATAAACACATGTCCGCGACAGCGGCGCACTCCAAAAAGTTATTGACGTCAACGTCATAATATTTAACGTACAACTTATGCTTAAACGTTACGCAGTCAATAACCATTAATGCTTCACAAAGTAATGTCCATCACTAATTTTTTATGCCACTTAAACTCTAATGATAGTGAAATTTTATTTTCTCTGTTCGACTGCTGTTTTATTTCCAAATGTTTTTGTTAGTGTCATTCCCAAATTACAACAAAATTTGATGATCACGCTATTTTCTTATTTCTGCGTATCCGTCATTTTCACGTTGTAAACAATATCATCGTCCGGCGTTTCTGGCGATTTTAACAAAAATTGCCGGAAATGACGTCCATTATTTTAAAGAATTACTTAAATGACATCATAGAAGAAATATGCGATGTTTAGCGGTTTTTCTACGTTAATTAGTATTTTTTCAGCAAAAAATATACGATGACTAACTGCGCTTTTCTACCGTGCGCCGGGTGCCGTGTATGTGCTTATTTAAAAGCAATATGAAATCATTATTTATTGACGCAGTTAACTATTCGTTTCAAAACATGTTGATTATATTCTACAATGTATGCGGATAAAATTTTATTGTAATACACGTTGACGTTCAAAAGATATTTAAAAAGTCCACGAATTTTTGGATAACCCCTCGTATACATAGTTTTTAACGATTTTTTTTATTTAAAAACAAAAGGTCTTTATCGTGTGGCAATTAAATAATCAGCAAATTTGAATAAAACTGAAAAACACATGAAACGTCGTTTAGTTTGCTCATTAGCCACTTTTCACAACACACTATTTTTACTTATGTGTTACTATTTATTTTTATCTTATTCTTAATATTGTACATACATGTATATAAAATGAGACAATTTTACAAATTCCATTTGAGGTATTCATATATTATAAAACAAATTCATTAAACAAACCTGAAATTATCAAAAGACTATCTTTAAATTTTTTATTTTTTTTTCAAAATATTTTACTTTTAATGCGTTCCAGAATAAAAAAGGAAATTCCAGATGTCCTTTTTCCGGGGGTCGACCTTAAGGCACTTTTTCATCAACAAATTTACATGCAGAGAGAGATACATAGTGAGACTAGAGAGATAGAGGAATAATTCCCCTTATCTTTTAAACCTCAGACGAAACGCATTGTATCTGTTCGTTTTGCGGATAATATGCCACTATCTTTTTATAGGGGTTTATTTTCTAAGGATAATTTTGTAAATCGCTGTTCGGAGTTATCTGATCAATATGCATAGAAGTATATTGTTCATACTTTAAAATGTATCTTGTTGCTGGGTCGTATGGGGTTGCGTTCATTGAACGCCGCCTTTCCTTGTTGATCTTGTTTATCATATTTTAGTATTCTCCGGAATCGCAAATGCTGTAATACTGATTAACGAAATGAATAAACATGATATTTTCCCTCCATATTCCTCATGCGTTAGTATAATCTCTGCTTATAATTATTATTTGTGTAGATGAAAATGTGTTCGTGATATATGGTTTTACCCCGATGATATGATCAATGACAATGGAGGGTCATAAAATAACGCAAACATTTGTTGTTGTTTTTTTTGTTTTGTTTTTTTTGTGACAATTATTTTCTTTATTTAACATTTTCCATCATACATCATGTTGTTAAAATGAAAATATGTAGTAAATAAACAACAAAAATAAAAATGTTAAAGTTTTCTACAACTGATATTAATATAATAATTAATAAGCTTGTAGTACCGTATTATTGCCAACTACTCCATTTTACCAACTATCTATATCCATTACCTACAATGTAATCATTTTATTTATTTACATTAGTTATCAACTTAAAAAAAAACTAGTGCAAAAATATAATATTGATAGAGAAAAATGAAAAACAATAATAACAAAAATAATAACAATAATAATAAACTTCACAGTTCATATATATACTCGTATATATATATATAAGTGACTTCAACTAATTTGTCTCATTCTTTTTTTATTTGCCCGGGTGATATTGAAATGAGAAAAATAAGTTAATGTCAGTTATTTTAAGTATAAAATCATACTAAAAGTAACTTACATTTACTATTTTTCTCATTTAACTTATATGCCTAGAAGTCTTCATGAAAATATCAGATAAAAAATTGTGCTTTACCAATATAATATAAATGTTACATATACCGGAATGTGAAATTACCCATTACTTCAGTATGGGCATGGAAAAGTTGTTTGAAGTGGCAAATAGGTGAAAGATAAGCATCTTTGCTTTCTAACAAGGTACTTTACTCGTATAGCATTAAATGATAGGAAGATTTTACTTTTACTTTTCTTTTTTAATAACTGATAAATAAACAAATAAATAAAGGGATGAAAAAATAAGCAAATAAATAAATAATTACATAAATTTATGAATGAATAAATAAATATGTATATAATTCATTGATTTAATATAGGTTGATTGAAAAGTGATACAAAAATAAAATGGTAAAAATGTAATAAAAATGCGGTATTTCATTATCATTTATATATGCAATGGTGTGTTTAATTGCTGTCATGAAAATCTATTGTTTGTATGCTAAGTAAATAGCTTAATTATATGTTCAGAGAGAATACAAAACTCATTCAACCAAAGTTATATTTTTATGGTTATATATATATTGACACATCTTCATCTGTTAATTTTTTTGAAATGATATCCAAGTTTATGCGGACAAATAACACATAACTGTCTGCTTTGCATGTATGTTCCAAAAGTGCCAATTCAATGTTCTAAAATATCTTTACTCAAAGAAGTAGTAAATCTTATCAGCTATCGTACAAACTCTAGTTGTAAAATAATGACCATTTTACAGACAGTCGATTCCACATTTATCATTTCGCTAGTAGTCAATAAATACACTGAAGCACTAACAGTCAAACCGCATAATGCGGAAATAACACAAGTTAAACATTGTGTTGATTAGTTACACAATTTGTGAGAAGTTCTACATCATATTTAGGAATTTCATTAAAACAAATAATGCGTTTTTAAAAATAGTATAGTATAATATACCTTGCCTACCTTATGATAACTATTATTAGTTCAGTTAAACTTAAATAAATACAAACAAAAGAGACAATATGAATACATAACTGAAAATGAAACTATTTTTTTCATCAAAAAACAAAAGTATCTCAAAAATGTTTGGCCGTGGTAAACGAGGTTGCTTTGTTATAACAAATATAATACTATTTATATTCATAAGTATTTTCAATGATAAGTTTCTTTTGGATTGTTTTTTCCCCTGTCGTTTTTTTTTCTATTATATTGTTGTTGTTGTTGTTGCTTCTTTAAAAAAAAACAAAGAAAAACATTTAACTTGCAATAACATTCATGCATCTAAAGGGCTTATATGTTTTTTATCATAAGATTTCATGCATTGTTACTGCAAAAAAACGAAAATTAAGACTGGACATTCGTGGAATATAATACAAATAACTGACATTATTGTTGGAGAATTCGATCTCATCTCTATTTTTCTAACTGATTATCGAAAATCAGACATAAAAATAAAAATTAATTTGCATATAATAAACATAATAAGAAATATATGTGTATCAAAGAAAGCTTTTGGATGATAAAAGCTAGTATCAAAATGTTAAAAAGGTTAAAGTCACAATCTGTCGCAGATATCCATAATAATTAAAATGTTTAGAAATGTCAAACATGTATTCACTATTGTTTTAATCAAAGATTTAGTGAATGTAAGATGTTTAACAGATGAGGAAAGTATCGCTGAATGTTCAGTAATATGTCGTAAAGGTAGCAAAATGTAAATTAGGTAGTATTTTGACTTCTACACGAAATACTTATTTACAATAATTATATCAATCGCAAATTATTCTATATAGAAAATGAGATCTTACCACTTTTAAGAAACTGTAACAGGATACCAAACTTAAAACTTAAAAAAAGGTTTTGAGAAATGAAACTAACAGCATTTTTTAGGCATGATGTGCCTTTAATTTTAAATTCCAAAGATTATACAAAACACAAAGCACTGACAATGCAAGACATAATATTTATACACTTTTTTGAATATATTTTTGCGGAATCAAATAATTTACTTTCTGTTAAGAAAAACAAAAATAAAACGATATTTGAAACATGATAAATTGAGAATACCAATATCACTTCAGCAACTTCCATGTTGAATGTTAATGTCTGATGTTTTCATCGCGCATTCAAAATGTTTGCGTTTGTTCATTTGCATCACTTGTCTAAACAACCCTTTTTTATCCATATTTTATGGTATCTCATTCATATAATATATAACGCTGTTTTATATTAATATCCAGTATACGTCTTATTGATTTGTTGAATATCAAATCACTTTTTTTCCCTTCTTCTCTAATCTGTAAAATAAAATAAACAATTTCATTTGCATTTTTTCCACATCAAATTTGTTCCTTAAAAATCAAAGTCATACATTAATTCAAAAGTTTTCAACGATCAATTGCCTGACACAAAATTAAAAACACATGACTGTGTGTATTTTATAGGAAAGTTATTACTCGCTAATGGACTGACAAAATATGCATGTATCGCATACTCAATCTGAAACTTTCTAATTTGTATGTGATATGAGTCGTATGAATACATTGACTTACACTTTAAGCATAACGGGGTTTTCAAGTATATGAAATTTTATTTATGTAATTTAATGAACAATATATAATTTTAATCTCTTTTTTTCATCTAAGCTTGAAACGTTGGTATGTTACTATTTATTCAAAAACAAATTTGAACTAGTCAAAACAACATTAAAAGATCATTTTATGCAAGAAAAAAACAAATATTGACAAAAAAACTTATTAATATTTTATAGTCTTATAACGTTCGTAAATTTATTATTTTAAGAATTTGTGTTAGTTACTATAAATATAAAATTGTAAAAATGTTAAAGTTACAACAATTTAAATTATATTCACACTTAAGATGTTATGTTTGTTAATTAAAATGCATGGCACACAAGTACATGGCAATAAAAGAGAGGTGCCTAAGCTAAAAGAATAGTTATTAACCGCCAAATAACTCTAATGAAATGAAGGTGAAAATTATGTGATGCTTAAAACAAATAAAAAACATGAAAATAGTACGATGAATGTATAGAAAACATAAAAATGGTGAGTATATGTTCCTGATTAATTAACTATTTCCCAAGCACTAATCGATCACTATCATGTACTTCTGACAGCCATGTTTCATTGTTTGTTATGTTTAGCTTATTAGTTCGAATCATTAATTCAGTCTTTTTACATTATTCTTGTACACACTGACACTATAAATTTTAAACAACACATATTTACTCTTCCCGCTGAATCTCTCTTCTACTACACAGTCCTACGCATAAACCCTTCCAGCCTGCTGAATCTCAGTAAGGGCTTATCAGCTAGTAAATCACTATTAACTGTATGTTTCCCATTAACACGTCCACTGAGTTGAGAGTTTTGTCATTATTTATTGCCCCTCTGTATTCTTATCTAATGGCCCCAACTTTGAAGGATCACATTTCTGTAGAAGATACGCTCACTCAAATTATCAATGTTTTTTCTCCTTTCTTTTGTAAATGGGTCTGTGGCCCAATTGAATTGTGAAACTTAGCAATTATTTGTAAATATATATAACATACAATAATTTTTTAAATTAATAATAAATAAAGTTCAATAGCTAAGTGTCACTGTTACTCATGTTACTGTCTGAACCCCCTCCCGGCTTGCTAAAAAACAAAAACAAAAAACAAAAATATGTTCATAGATGTAACTTTTCTTGCAAAGTGCAAGACTCTTAACTAAACTGACCAGGTAAGTGTATTTTTATTATTAGCTCGACTATACTAAGAATATTGTGATTTTTCCTACTTACCTTTGTTTGCAAGTCGAAGTTAGCGTCCATACTTTAAATTAATGTTTATGCGCCTATAACTTCTTTATTTCTTAAGGTATCAATTTCAAATATATATTCCTTACCACCATCCACATCATTTGATAAGGTGCAAAACTCTAAAACCAGTATTTCCAGAACTATATCCCCTTGAATTTAAATAATGTTATATTTTACTCTAACATCTTCATTTCATATTAAAGTATTGACTTTAAACTTCAAACATGTGTTCCTTATCATTAACTACATCATAGTGGCAATGTTTTCTTTTTTAAATCTAACACAAATTTTTCCAGAATTATCTCCCCATGATTTTTTTCCTCTCAAAAAATGTTACTTTTTACTTTCTTTTTTATTTCTTAAGTATCAACTTCTAACTTCAAATATATTTCCTTATCATGTGTGACAAGATTCATAACTGTATCATGAATATTTCCAGGATTATTTCCCCCATTCAAATTTGTTTTGTATAAAAATTGATATTTTATAACTTTAAACAATAACATGACAAGCTTCATAACTCTAGCATCAATATTTTCAGAATCATCATCCCTTTATACTTAGAATTTTCCTTATTAAATTCGGACTTCAACAAGAGCAGTCACACAAGTGACGAATGCCCCCGAAAAAGTTTCTTAAGCATGTAGGACTGGTAGTATGAAAAGAAAAGAGGATGAAAGTAACTAATTTCTTAATATTTTTCTTTGTATTATTGTTCCTATAATCTCTAATTGTGATAGCGCGTGAACCTTCCAAATATAAGTGTGACCTGACCTTTGAAGAAGGGACGTGGTTCCTAGACACAACAGAATGTTGTCATGATATTGACATGTGTGCCAAGTTATTTCAAAATCCCACAATGCATGACAAAGTTACATACTGGACATGATTGTTGTGTAAGTGGGGACACACAAACGAACAGACGGGCATGAGCCTTAGCTGCGATACATCGTCCTGATGTGGTAGACATTTGTGCAAAGTTATTATAAAATCTTCCCATGCATGACAAAGTTACAGTCCGGACATGAATGTGTATCTTCAAACTCTTCTCGAATGAATGAATACCTTCAAACTGTAAGTATGACCTTGACCTTGACCTCGAATGCGTGTAACTATAAACTCTTATTATGATAAAGTGAAACTTCAAAATGTTAATGTGACCTTGACCTCTGAGGTAGGGACGTAATTCTTGGACGCGACACATCGTCTTGATGTGGAAGACATGAATGCCTAGTTATTTAATATCATTCAATGCATAACAAAGTTATGAATGAAGTGGGGACGCACAGACTGACGGACATCCAGAAAGACAGAGGGACGGTGCGATTTTAATATGCCTCCCTTCGGCGGCATAAACATGTTTCAACACCTATATCAGGTGCGATTAGATTGATAACTCAAGTCCTGTATTTCTAGAATTATCTCGATTTCATTTTTGAATTCGGGATTTATTGAAAATTAAAATATTTCCAAAAATTACTTTGTTATTATAAATGACATCAAATCTAGACTTAAGACAATTGTTCTTTGTCATTACTTACATCATGCATGACAAGGTTTATAACTCTAGCATCCTTATTTCAAGAGATATTTCCTCTTAAACTTAGAATTTTACTTTAAAAACTTTATGTACTTTTTGCTTGTATCATTTTGGTACATTTTTTAAAAAAAAATTACATTCATCTCTTTTCCTACTAGATTGAATTATAAGCTTCAATAATGCTTTGAATCGATTATTATTATGATTACTAAACATAATTTTGCTACTTCTGAAAAAAAAAGAAAAAAAAATGTAAATCACTGAGGTATGATTTGCCTTTAATATGAACGAAATTTACATAATTATTTTCATTGTGAGTTGTAAGTGATTAAAAACCTTTTTTTACTGTAATCCAATTTTTATTTGTCTTTAATTATTATTAAAAATTGTATGTATCTCTTTACACTAAAGAGTTAAATCTATTTTTTTCGTTACATCAAAAAATGTTCCCTATATGTCTTCCAGCCTAAACAATACATTCTTGAAACATGATAGGATCATAAAACATTCAAGGGTGCTGCTATCAGTAATGCAGTGACAAGCCGTGTAATTATAATTAACTGCTCATCACTGACCAGAGATAGGAGATTTTGGGGGAAAACTGGAAATCTTGGGTTTATGCGTAGGGCCAATTGAATTCTCAACAAAGCTCTAAACGTAAATTACATTATTTATTGATGAGTACCTATAGAAGATCATTGTACTATCTTATTATCCCCCGCCGAAAATTTTCGGCGGAGGATATAGAAATAGTCTCCGTCCGTCCGACCTTCCGTCCGACATTTTTGTCCGGAGCATATCTCTAAAAGTATTTGAGTTATCAACTTGAAACTTCATAGGTGGATAGACCTCATTGAGGAGGAGTGCAGTGCACAAGAATGATAACTCTACCTTGCATGATTTTTGAGTTAATGTCCTTTGTTATTTTTCAAAATTGATTTTTGTCCAGAGCATAACTCCAAAAGCCTATGAGATATTAACATGAAACTTCATAGGTGCATAGATTTCACTCAGGAGGTGTTCAATGCACATGAATGATAACTCTACCTTTCATAATTTTTGAGTTATTGCCCTTTGTTATTTTTCATACCTAATTTTTCACCTGAGTGGAGCATAACTCAAAAAGTGTTTGAGATATCAACATGAAATGTCATAGGTGGATAGATCTTATTGAGGAGGAATGTTATATGTGGATAGACCTCATTGAGGAGGAGTGCAGTGCACAAGAATGATAACTCTACCTTGCATGATTTTTGAGTTATTGCCTTTGTTATTTTTCAAAATTGATTTTTGTCCAGAGCATAACTCCAAAAGCCTATGAGATATTAACATGAAACTTCAATAGGTGCATAGATCTCACTCAGGAGGTGTGCAGTGCACATGAATGATAACTCTACCTTTCATAATTTTTGAGTTATTGCCCTTTGTTATTTTTCATACCTAATTTTTCACCTGAGTGGAGCATAACTCAAAAAAGTGTTTGAGATATCAACATGAAATGTCATAGGTGGATAGATCTTATTGAGGAGGAATGTTGTGCGCAAGAATGATAACTCTTCCCTATACAATTTTTGAGTTATTGCCCTTTGTTTTTTTTTCATGCTATTTTGTCCAGAGCTTATCTCAAAAAGTATTTGAGGTATCAACTTGAAACTTCAAAGGTGGATGGATCTCATTGAGGAGGAGTGCAGTGCTTAAGAATGATAACTCTACCCTGCATTATTTTTGAGTTATTGCCCTTTGTTATTTTTCAAAATTAATTTTTGTCCAGAGCATAACTCAAAAAGCCTTTGAGATATTAAAATGAAACTTCATATGTGCATAGATCTCACTCAGGAGGTGTGCACTGCACAAGTATGATAACTCTACCTTTTATAATTTTTGAGTTATTGCCCTTTGTTATTTTTCATACTTAATATTTCAATTCAATTTTTTTCTCAAAAAGTATTTGAGGTATCAACTTGAAACTTCATAGGTGGATAGATTTTACTGAGGAGGGATGCAGCACACAAGAATGATAACCTTCCCTGCATTATTTTTCAGTTATTGCCCTTTGTTATTTTCAGCCATCAGTATTCACATAGGTTTCAAATCTGTAATCACTATAGCCATCAGTTTTCATTACCAAAAGACCTCTTAAAATGAAATTATTCTGTTCTACTACATATACATTCTTCCAATGAGCAAACACATTCGGCGGGGGATGGCCATGTTGACATGGCTCTTGTTCCATGTGAAACAATTAGTGTATTTGATATTGGCGTGATCGATTGGTAATTTTTATCGTTTTCAAAATTCAAGTATTAGACATATGTACATATGCATTTACTACATGAAAGAATTGCGGCATGTTTTCATATTCAGTTATGTTAATTTGTCTCTTTGTTGATTTTACTCTGTATCTTTCTGTTATGTAGCATAATATATTCACATTTTCGTTTATCTGTTTGCACGGATAGCAGACACATACGTTTCTCTTGCAAACGGTTTTCCTTATCGGCCTCTTAAAAAAATTAACCTATAGTGTGCAATAAATATACATATAACGGACAGACGTTTAATAATTGTGATTGATAACGGTAATAATTAAAGATTTAAACCTTTTTCATTCATTTTTATTCAAACACACAATTACAAATATTGCTTATACTATCTCAATACAATTATGATAACACAAGTTTGGTATTATACAGATGCATGTATACATGAATTTCGTAAAAGCACACTAGGAACATTGCAAAAAACTATTCAAATTCAAATTCAATGAGTCAGAATATAAAATGATAGGACCTTTTTCGAAACAAAATTTTGACTGGCCCTTACAGGGTTATTATGTTATGGTATCGACAAGATATCGTTTCGCCTCACCATAGGCAAAGTAGAAAATATACATTGCTTGTTTTAATAATATTCAATAACTTAACATCACATTTGAAGATTGTTTTTTTTTTTTTTAATATATGATACTTAGAATTAAACACTTCTAAATCCGACACATATAAGCGGGATCTATACTCAAATATAATCATCTAATAATATTCTAAGTATGCAAACAAAAGAAAAGATTTATCCTGCAAAATTGATATAATAATAAGTAAAATGTGTAAATATTTTATAATTGCATTTAATTATACAGCGTGTGTAAAAAAACAAGCAAAATGTTGCTGTTATTCTATGTGTTGTCATGTATAAGACTGGATGGTGGCCGAAATTGATATACTGTTTTAAAACATCTGTAATTTATTGCACACGCGTTATTAAGAAATAACAAAAAAATATTGTTTATATCTGAATATACTGTTTATTGTTCAAAACTCTGTTTGCAGAATTCATGGCCAGATTTCGTGGGTAAACTATAAACAAACCTTCTTGTATATTTAAGTTTCTAGAATATTACTCGTATGTTATGTAAGAATCTGGCCGGTGTAAGAAATGTGACATGTGTAGAACAATTCTAAATAGCTATTAGAACAGACTTAATTCACATTGTCTGCGAGTTTCACTTTTTTACAATTGTGTGCTTTTGAGGGATCTATCCATTCCAAAACTCTTGCAATTGTTTATGTTTTTTCAGTTTCTTTGTAAGTTTTATTCCCACTCATATAAAAAAGATAAAAATAATTCACTGTAAAGAATGAAGATCATCATTAACAGTAATAACAGAAAATCGAAAAGACGGGCTACAATATCTAAGTATTTGTATAGTGTAATACAGGTTGGGCAGATGGAGGTGTTAGAGGACGTGTTGAGTGTGTGGGTTGTTAAATAGGAAAACAGGCCAGATCAGGAGACGGATATGGGCCAATCTCACGAGAGCGAAATAGTTGTAGACAGGTAATAAACCAACAGAGTCTACAACATAAATACAACTACTAGTATAAAAAGAATGCGTTAATTACACTCCACTCTATCTACAAACATGCCATGATTATCGATTTTTTAACAAGAAAATCAAGGACAATATATGAGTAAACTAATTGCCAACTACTAAAAATGTGACTGAGTCATCAAATATGAAAATGTTGTGATGGATGCATAACACATACAATACATTTAAAATACAACACTTACATACATATTACAGAATAATTGGTAGAAATCAAACGAATATTAAATTTACAATAACTATTGCTTTTTTTGCACACGTTGTTCGATCCCTTATATCAATATAATATTTTTTTTTATATTTTTGCCCCATGAATAAATGTGCTAAAATAACCAAGTCCAAAATATATTTCATATTTTTATAAAAATGAAATATAAATATGAAACCTGGGCCGTCCCAAGAGTCAGTGAATAATAATGATGGCAATTTTTATCAATGGTTATTTCGATGAAAAAAAACCAACACCTTTATTTATTAATGATTATATATTTCCCCCCCAAATTAATTTTTTCCCACCTATTTTCAACTTTCCAAAAGAAAAATTCCTCTTAATATTGTAATCATATTATTGTTGAAACTTTGGGTTTTGAAAAAAAACAAGCTGTTGTGAAACACTTTAATTTATTTCCAAGTCTTTATAAAGTATACAATTATTATTTTGTGTTCGATGTGGTTTTGATGGCACTTTAGTGGACTGTTTATATACTACTTTTCACTAATATGTGTTATATTAATGGAAACAAAATACTATATTTTTTCTTTCGTACATATTTAATCCTTAAAAACACAACCGCTATCCATTATTTTGTTTGAGTACAGACTATTGTCTTTATTATTTTTAAATTAAACACAGACAGAATCGGCACATGTGAGTTTTTAATAATTTCTGCCAATACAAGTACAAAGTACAGGAATGTTAAGATTTCAACTCTTCAATCATCAAATAATGTTTTGGCGGTTAAAACCATACAATAAATGTTTTTAAGCACATACAAAATATCTATATGCCAGAAGACGATGGATTTTTCAAGGAGCACAAAAATATTGTTTAAAACAATTTGAATTCATATTTAGACGTGTTTGAGGTTCTGTTAGAAACAGGAAATGTAAATAACATATATGTCTAATTAAATATCATTTCAGGATTTTGGCAATCAGTTAAGTTACACTTGTAAATAAAAATTTATAATTTTTACATTGAAATTTGAAATTGGGTCCGAAACATTGAGAGTGTGCGTTAGTTTGATATGTTAAAACAGTGACAGGAAATAACAGTCAAAAATACTCAAAAGGATAACTACTGCATACAATCTTTAACTATCTGAAGATTAAACTTTTTTTTTCACACGTCATAGCGTTGTTTTAGTTTTGTTTCATAGGAATACTGATCGTAAAAATAAAGAAACCGATTAATAGCTATAAGCTCACGTCACCTACTACCTAAGAGGTGGTGGGCTGTGTGGTGTGTTTGGGGGGGGAGTAGGCGCCGATGGTGTAGTCGGAGCGGGCGTTTAGTGGGAGGCCTGAAGTTCAGGGATTGAGGTTGGAGCGGGTGTGTGGAGGCGGGGTGGGAGCGTAGCAGTTAGAGAAATTTGGAGAGGGCGTGGAAGTAACGAGCACACTATCGGTGTAGAGCAGGGCGGTGGGTGGGTCTCGGATGAGTTAGTTTTTCAAGGTTTTTCTAACGATTGAAACCGACAGAGAGGAGGAGTGTGATGTATTGGGTAGGAGTGCAGGATGGAGAGTTAAATTTGTGGGGTCGGAGGCGTGGTATTACAGGCGCGTGCGAGGTGTTGTAGGCGCGAAGGTGTTGCGCGAGCACAAGTGTGGGGGAGAGGGATGGGTAGGGTGGTTGTGGGTGTGAGGATGGCTTCACGGGCGGTGGTTGTTAATGGTGGTGGTTCATATCTTATCGTCCGTGTTCATATTTATATTCACTTGTGGGCTTTGGTCGGAAGGAGATGTAGATCTGGTAGAGGTGTGTGAAGGTGAGGGGAGCTTAGCGGACGAGAAGCGCGAGCAGTAGGGGGAGGGGCACAACACCAGATGTATTACCTGTTGAAAGATATAGACATGTACAAAAAAAGTTTGTATTTAAAAAAAATGTGTTTTGTGGATTAGAAGAGACTTATTGAAAATAATTATTAACTTTACATTAGTTCGTATTTTAAAAATGAAGACAGCTTTAACATTATCTATACAAATAATTCAACAAAAAGGCTATCAAAAAACTGTTTATTTCGGATAATTAGTTACAGACATCGCACGTTTTTTGGCAAAGTAATTAGCGGGTAGACGCAATAGTACCTCCCCGGGGCTCGCTTATCTTCTCTGGGTCTTGGTTTCTCAGAGGCGCGCAGGTTTTATTTCAGGGGTAGCTAGGTGTCCATAGGAGGGATGGATGCAGGGGGTCCTGCTCACATAAATTAATGATTCCCGTTCCAGTTATTTACAGATTCAATACTCTGCATCTTAAATTACCCGACATAATCAAACTACAGTGGAGTTACGCGGTTAATTACAGGTACACAGTGTCAATATTCAAATTCTTCTTGATAAGATTCCACAACTTGTAACATCACATCACAAATATAGCAAACTATAACATGACCTATTTTGAATTAAAACGAAAACTGTTCATATCATTTCTTCTCTGTGGCAAAGAATGTTTTTTTCTTTAATACTAATGTATTTTTTTATATGCAATTACTCACATTTTATAATAAACGAACAAGCATGTACAATAGAAGCTTTTGACGATATGTGTTTTTTTACTACTGGTTATCAATTGTATTTATACAAAAGAAGCACGCTTTATGCA